TTAATGGGCTGTATGAATAATTTACTTGAATTAAAGCCTCAAACACCTACATTGGGGGGTTATTGCTAGAACTTCATATATGTCTAGGAACTAGTGTGGTTCATGCACCAGTTCAATGTGTAATAACCAAATCTTATGACGAATTAAAGAATCAATAGAAAATTTATCACCAATAAGAATATAGATCATCAACATCAGAAATTAATCATTATAATAAACCTGTATTATCTCCAGTGTACAGCATTCTATAAATGATAAATAACATCAGAAATTAATCATTATAATAAACCTGTATTATCTCCAGTGTACAGCATTCTATAAATGATAAATAAATACTGATAATTTGAATAATTAAAGAAATACGAAAAGTCTTAGCTTGAAGACGTTTTCAACGACATCAGTTATGAATCATCCTCGGGATCTCCGGAATTCCTCGTAGAACGCTGGGAGATGAATAACACGTGTAAAGTAACAGCTCGTGGATGCCTCACACGCGAGCTGTAATTTAAGGGATATTACGTAGCAATGTACTAGGCTACTAAATATCTATATTCAAGAAAATGGAAATAAATTAATCTAGAATACTAACATGGGTTTTGTTTGTTGCTTGACGTAACGACAAGCTAACCTGCCATATACAATCTCTAATGATGCATCAAAAGGGAGTTATATATATACTTAGCTAATAGGGCACTGAATAAGTTGAAGCTAGCTGAAACCGAGTCCCAAGCTCTCACAATGGCGAACACGTGGTGGCTAGCTTGGCTTGGATGTCGACCCGCTTATTTGGCCGGTCACGACGGATCACGTAGAACAAATTAACTAGTTCTATGATGAGTATCAGGTTAAATCTTGCTGACAACTTCACCGCAACGTGTCCTAGACTCTGACACCAAAACAAGTTGCTCAATTCCGCAACAAGTCTTCACGCCGCACACTGGTGACTTCTCCTCGAGCTGTCGTCTACCACAACAATGGCGTCTCCCTCTCCCCGGCGTCTTGCATTCGCCACAGAAATTATTTATCACGAATAATATTATTTCGCGCAGTTGTGGCTAAAATGCTTTGATAAAGACTGGATTGTAATTCTAGGGAGCTAAATATTATTACTTTCTCGTCTTACGATGGCAAACGAGAAATGGAGATGATTTTAGTTCTCTCCATGGCATTCACGCGTGACGTTAAATTCATTACTTGATAACAGTTGTAACTAAAAACTCTCGATTTGGCATTATTTGGGAGTTATGTTATCGGTAAATAATTATCACACGGAATACTGCTGATTTTAGAGAATCACACTCAATTCTCTAACACACTGGATATAAATGTGTTTAACTTGGTAGAATCTGACGCAATACTGGCGCTTGGTTACGTAAGAATTCCAGCATTATTGTACAGATATAATTATTAGTTCATGTGAACACTACTGTTAATTAATTTTAGTTACTACAGTAATTAGTAGATTTTAGTAATAGTTAATAATAATACAACAGTATTGTATTAGTGTTGGAAATTTCCAACAGTTCTTTATGGTGAACATATATGTAAATAGGTTTATACAATGTGTGTAGTGTTATAACAGCAAAAACACTGTTCGATTGATAGTTCATTATAATATATACTGGTATATGTCATATTTGAGCCCCGTAATTTTAAGCATAGCGATGTTCCACACACATTGAACTATATAAATTCCACAAATTACACACGTTTGAAAAATATTACAGCAAAAAAACAGAGAAGAAACGAATGAGAAACATCAATATAATTGTGAAACATTATGTTCGCAAAGACTGCCGCCCCATGGGGTGGCGGGGCCGAGTGACCCGGAGCGCTCCATTGCTCAGCGCCCATAATTTGCTTAACTTCCCAACTCCATCACAGCTAAAGAATGCTACATACAATATTGTTTCTTAGTTTCCTGTGATCGGAGACTGCATTTTAACAATATAAGGAGAGAGAAAAAAAATTTGGAAAGAATTTAATTTTGGCACACCA